TGTGTGTGTGTGTGTGTGTGTGTGTGTGTGTGTGTGTGCATGCATGCTGGTACTGGAGCTTGAACTCAGGGCCTCACCTTCTTGCTTGGCTTTTTCACTCAAGCCTGGTGCTCCACCACTTGAGCCACACCTTCCACTTCCAGCTTTTTGCTGCTTTGTTGGAAATGTTTCCTGGACTTTTTTTGCCTGGACTGGTTTCAAGCCACGATCCTCAGATTTCGGCCTCCTGAATAGCTAGGATTATAGGTGTGAGCCACTGACACCTGGCTTTGTGTGCGTGTGTGTGCGTGCACGTGCGCATGCACACGTGTACACATGTGCACATGCTCCAGTACTGGAACTTGAATTCAGAGTGTCATTAGCTTTTTTACTCAAGGATAGCACTTTACCACTTGAGCCATGACTCCATATCCAGTCTTTGGGTGATTCCTTGGAGGAAAGAGTCTCAAAGCCTCTCCTGCAGAGGGCTAGCTTTGAACCGTGAACCTCAGAGATTCCCTCAGCCTAGCAAGGATTACAAGTGTAAGCCACCATTATCTAGCTTTTTGTAAAATGCCAAGACGAGTGGGAATTCAGGGCCTTGTGATCTCGCTTGGCTTTTTCTATCATGTTGCTCTTCCACTCGAGCCACCTTCCAGTCTTTTGCTTGCTAACTAAAGAGATGGGTCTCAGTTTTGTCCTTTCTGGTTGCCTTTGGACCGTGATTCCCAGTTCTCGATCTCCTGAGCTGGAATTCCAGGCATGCACGATGCTCTGGATCCCAGGCTGCTCTGGATCCCAGGCGGGGCTGAGCAAGGGGCCCACACTGCGCACCCTTTCCCAGGTGGTCTTCCCGGACAAGCAGTGGCTGTCTCTGGAGAAACTCCCTCAGCTGGAGGCACTGCTGCCGCCCCGGCAGAAGGTGCGGGTCACGGAGGACATGGACCAGGTGGAGCTGAAGGAGTTCAACCCCAGCGAGCAGAACTGGCGGCAGCACCGCGAGGCCTACGAGGAGGACGACGACGGGCCGCGGGCGGGCGTCCAGTGCCAGACGGCCTGACGGCCGCGCTGCGTGAATGTAACATCGGCACAATGAAAATGGCATGGCTTTCGTGGCCTCCTGTGTTGGGGTGTCCTGTGTATGTGTTCAGCATCCCCCCCCCATTGCTGTGTCCTTTTTTTAGGGGGGTTCTTTTGTTTCTCTTCATAGCTTGATTTCTATTTAAATGTCTTAATTACAAATCACTTGTCATCTGCAGATGGAGTCTTGTTGTTGTTTGGTTGGTGGGGCTTGAACTCAGGACTGGGGTGCTGCTAGTGCTCTACAACTTTGAGCCACACTGCCACTTCGATTTCCTGGTGGTTTATTGGTGATGTCTCATGGACTTTCCTGCCTGTTCTGGCAGATCTCAGCCTCCCAAGTAGCTGGGATTACAGGGGTGAGCACTAGCACCCGGCCTGGGCTGTTCTTTTACCACTTTTCAGGACCTTTCTTGGACACTGTTGCTTCTGAATGGCTGGTAGCTTCCGTCCCCTGGCAGGGCTGCTCAAGGCCACAGTGTGCAATCTCTGCCTTCTAGAAGAATCTTCTAAGGAGCAAAAGCACGAGTGGATCCTGGATCCTGCCTGCCCGGGTCACACCCAGGGGGCTGCACTCCTGCTCTGCAGAGCTAAACCTACTTCCTACTGTGCTGTCCCTGCCCTGAGTGGTTGGGCTGGGGTGTGTCTGAGCACTTGGAAGTTTGCTGAACGCCCCAAGCCTGGTGTTTTAGGTGCTGTACTGAGACGCCATCTGTGCCCACCCCACAGGCTTCTGTAGACAGCCCTGGCAGGCACTTCCGCCTCCCTGTCCCCAGCGGCAAGGCCAGGGACAGCACTGGTGGACCCATGGCTCAGGCCGGCTCCTCTGATGACCCGTGGGTCCCTGCATGTCCTCTCTGGTTCAGATCATTCCTGGAGGCAGAACCTGGCCCGGCCATGTCCAAGAGCCTCCTGCCTAGGGGCCGGTGCTGCCCCGCGAGTCTCGAGTTGAGTGACCAGGGCCTCTCTGGAGGACAGCGGCTGTGACTGCACCCTGGGTGGGCAGGCGGGACTCTGGTTTTGTCCCTCCACTTCCAGCCCTTAATTCAGCCTTCCTTTCCCACAATGAAGACCGTAGCAGCTCTGGGCTGGAAGCTTCGGTCGTCCACTCTTACTGGATTCTGTGAACCTGAGCCCCGCCCTCTGAGGACCCAAGGGCAGACGTGGTGCCACAGCACACCGGCCACCAGCAGTCTGGGGATCTGGGTCCAAAAGAGCACCTGTGTCCCTGTGTCTGCTTTGCTCATTGAATTAGTGCTGTTGGTCATAGGGCTTGAACCTGGGCCTGGGCGCTGTCCCAGAGCTCTTTAGCTCGAGGCTAGTGCCCTACCAACTTGAACCATGGCTCCACTTCTGGCTTTTTGGTGGTTAATGAGAAATAAGTTTCAAGGACTTTGCTGCATAGGCTGGCTTTGAACCATGATCCTCGGATCTCAACCTCTGGAGTTGCCAGGATTACAGGCCTGAGTCACCAGCGGTGCCCAGCATTCAAAAATAATCGATTCCAACTAATGAGCTTGTGAGCAGACCACTGGTGCTGGAGTTCTGATTAGTCATTGCGTTAACTCAGCTCTCCCCCCCCCCACGGGGGCGTGGCTTCCCTTGCTCTTCCCCGCCCACCATATCACTGTAAAATCAAACTCAACTGCTAGGAGACAGTGGCTCCGCTTCTTGTTTCCTGTTGACACTGTGGCTTGAACTCAGGGCCCAGGCATTCTGTCCTTTAGCATTTTCCCTCAAGGCTAACCTTCTACCACTTGGACCACAGCTCCACATCTAGCTTTTTGCTGGTTCACTGGAGATAAGAGTCTCAAGGCCTTTCTTGCCCCAGGCTGACCTGGAACTTTGATCCTCAGATCTCAGCCTTCTGAGTAGCTGGGATGACAGGTGTGAGCCACCAGCACCCAGCTAAGTACTTCACAACCCCACTCAAGACGTGGCAGCCCATGTGCAAACTCACAGCAGTGCATGCTGGGAGCTGGGGCTCCATTTTGAAGCTGGAAGTTCTTGAAGTGCCTGGACCTCTATCTCGTAGCCAGCACCTTAGTTCTTCAGGGATCAGGCAAAGACACACACATGCACACACACACATACATACACAAGCAAAGAGATGCACACGTGTGCGTGCGCACACATATGCATTAATGCTTTGTGTTAAAAGTATGAACAGCATTTCCAATAAAACAGGAACATGTTTATACTGTATGTACAAAAGTCTTCTCTACACGGATTCTGCGTTTCTTCACGGCTTGCCTTGGGGAGCGAGGCATGTGTGCTGGCCCCAGCTCCAGGCTCAGGTTGGACAGTCGTAGATGTGAATTTCCTGGTCGTCGCCCACAGACACAATTTTTGAGCCATTGCCATTGTATTTCACTCCCCAGACCTGGAGATTTTTTTAAAAAAAAGAAAAGAAAAAGTTGTTCTAAGGCCTTGATTTTTGTGCCAGTACTGGGACTTGAACTCAGGGCCTGAGCGCTGTCCCTGAGCTGCTTTTGCTCAAGGATGATACTGTATCATTTGATCCACACCTCCACTTCTCAGCTTTTTGCTGGTTTGCTGGAGCCTCTAAGAGTCTCTCACTTTCCTGCCCAAGCTGGCTTTGAACTAGGATCCTCAGATGCCAGACTGCTGAGTAGCTAGGGTTACTGGCGTGAGCACCAGCACTCGGCTAGGCTAGAAGCGACCTTAATGCTGCGGTGGGGTTTGGCCAGTCCTGGCCCTGATCCTGGCTCCCGGCCGCTGCATAGCAAGGCAGCATCAGGCTCCGGCAGGACCAGCTGTGTCACAATCTCTTTTTACTGGGTTGCTAGATGCCCTTGAACTTGCAATCTGCCTGCGTCGCCTATGTGTTCGGATTATAGGCATGCATGCCAGGCCTGGCCCAGAATTCCCCAAGGATTCCTATCCATACCGAAGATGAAGAAACACACCATCGAAACACCTTTAGCATTTCATCTTCAGCTTGGTGGTGATAAACAGCCTCCTTTTAAAGATGGACCTGGCTGGGGATGTGGTTCAACTGGTAGAGCACCTGCCTACCAAGTATGAGGCCTTGAGTTCAAACTCCAGTACCAACCAACCAACCAATAACACCTTTGAAGAGAGGCTGGAAATATGGCTTAATGGTAGAGTGCTTGCCTAGCATGCACGAAGCCCCTCAGTACCACATAAATAGAAAAAGGCTGGAAGTGGTGCTGTGGCTCAATTGGTTGAGTGCTAACCTTGAGCAAAAGAAGCTCCAGGACAGTCCCCAGGACCTGAGTTCAAGCTTCAGGACTGGCAAACCAAAACAAAAACAAAAAACCCCAAAAAACTCCAAAGATGAAAATGAAAGTGTTATCACTAAAGGCAAACAACCTGTTAAGAATTTCCATCGGGTATTACACAAGAAAAAAAAAAAAAAGAAAAAGCCATGCACTGGTGGCTTATGCCTGTAATCCTAGCTATGCTTAGGAGGCTGACATGTGGGGATCAGGGTTTGAAGCCAGCCTGGGCAGAAAAGTCTGTGAGACTCTTACCTCCAATATAACTATTCAGAAAAAGCTGGAAGTGGCACTGTGCCTCAAGTGGTAAGCACAAGCCTTGAGCACAAAGCTCAGGGATGGTGCCGAAGCCTTGAATTCAAGCCCCAGGCCCCGCAAAATATTTTTTTCTGTGTTTTTGTACCAGTGCTGGGGCTTGTACTCAGAGCCTTGGTCCTATTCCCTTTTTCTACTCAAGACTGGGCACTGCACCACTTGAGCCACACCTCCACTTCTGGCTTTTTGCTGGTTAATGGGAGGTAAGAGTCTCAGACTTTCCTGCCTAGACTGGCTTCAAACTGGGATCCTCACATCTCAGCCTCCTGGTGTTGAGTCTGGCTGCGGCTCCCACTACAGCTCACTAAGGGTTCAGCCACCATGGCTGCTGAAGAGGAAGAAGAAGAAAGAAGGTCCTTCCAGGGCCACTGTGGACAGAGGCACCCAGAGGGGGGACACATGTGAGGGAGTGCCGTGGGCTTGCTGTGGAGGGCCCTGGGCAAACCGACCCTGCAGAGCCCCCACAGCACTGGCCAGGGCGTCTAACCCAACGCTGGGAGAAGCATCCTAAGACTGGGACCCTACCTGATCCTGGTGGTCAAAGAAGGTGTGGACGCACGTCCTGGTCCCCACGTCCCACACCTTCACGCTCTTGTCTGAGGAGCTGTTGTGAAAGATCGTCTGTGTCAGCAACAGCCCCTCTCCCAGCCCCTGGGCACGCCTCTCCCCACCCCCACAGCGTCTGTGCGGGACAGACCCCTGCACACAGCCCCCCGCGCCCCCCACCCGCCCCACAGCACCTGTGCGGGACAGACCCCTGCGCACAGCCCCCCCCCCCCAGCATGAGGATCCAGAGTGCCAGGGCTCCGAGGGGGAGCCACACATCGTTAGCGCCAGAACTACTGAGGCTAGTTTGTAAGCAAGTCTACAAAGAGTTTCATGGTTCAAAAGATCGCATCTCTGTAGTAGCTAAGAACACCTTTATTAACTAAAATCTTTTAAAACTAAGGAAGGTAACTTGAATTTTAAAGAAGGTTTTAGGTAGCTGGTGCCTCAGATCACTTTTACCTTCCAGGTGTGCTGTGTAATTTCACACCCGGGTCTGCTGAGTAGCTCAGGCTGATAGGAACTGGCTCTGTAGCCCAAGCTGATCTGAGCTTGCTTGTGATCCCTCAGTTTCCACCTCTCAAGTGCCGAGATTATAGGAGTGTGCTACTATGCCCAGCTCTCCCAAACATTTCAGACTGTACTATGAAAGTCAAAGTACCTGGAGACGAAGTGAGTGTCGTCGGGGCAGAAGGCGACGTTGAGCACCCAGGAGGCATGGCCGCTTAGGGTGCCAGCCAGGTTGGCATGTTGCCTGCCACAGGAAAGGTTCAAAAGCAGTGACAGGCCGCTCTGGGGCATGACAGCTGGGGTGGAAGGGGCCCCTCCCAGCTGATGACATCTGCTGTGTTTCCATCCACACCAAACAGCCCCTTCCAGTCAGGTGTGGACACCAGGAACAAGATCCCAGACAAACAGCGTGGGAGCAAGCACAGACTGCGCGCTGTGCACAGAGGCGCGGCTGGCCGAGAGGTTGGGCGGCAGGCGGCAGGCCCACGTGCTGCACTGCACCCACACCACAGTCCCCACAGGCCGGGGCTGGGGACA